ATATTAAATTAAACTTATTCTAACCTCCTTTTTCAGTGTTCTCTGACACCAAACTGCATTAATCCTCTGCCTTGATGGAAAACTAGTTCCAACATGTTGGAACATGTGTATCTGTACAACATTAATGGCATTTTAAATCCTCTGTGCTATAAGTGTGTGTTTGGAGGCTGAACTCCAGTCATTGTGTTAGAAATCTCTTTTAAAGCTGCCAGTAACTTTTTTTTTTTTTTTTTTTTTTTTTTTTTTGGCACTTGGCAACAAAATCACAGTCTGCTTTGAACAATAATGTGTCTGATATGTTTTCACTGCAAGAAGTATAATAGCCACATTAAAATCCTTAAAGTCATCGACTCAGAATCTATAAATAAATGTTAATTTCATTCATTTCTAAACCTTTCTTGCTGGACACCAGATGTCTCCGACTTCACTGAAAAGTCCATTCTCAGTGTCTGTGCACTTCAAGTTTCTGCATCACACCGAGTATTGGACCAGGTTTGACTTCCAAACCATTTGTTACATCACAAATCACGTCCGTAGGCCCCGCTTCCTTCAAAATCACTTTCCAGATTTCCAGCAGATGAATGTGAAAACGTCCTTCTAGGTCAGATCTTTTTCCTTAAGGAACCTTTTTTTCCTATCATTCAGTAAACTGATAATCAGGAAAGCACTCAGAAGTTTGTTTTAAATTAGTGATTTGAGTGAATTTTGAGCAGATCATTTCCTGTTTTGGGAACTTTAATACAATTCTCTGCCTGTATTATCAATTTTTATCATTTTTAAACAATCATTCGAACTTAATAGGCTTCTTTTTTCCAACAAATTCAGCGTTTTCTTGTCCCAGACGCTTGGCCATTGTTTCAGTAGACAGTTAACTCACAGAAGTGAACCAAATTCTGAGATATAGGCCTACTGTGTATATTTTAAAGCACCACTTTCTAGTATCAAACTCTGCACATACATACAGTGAAAATCAAACATCCAACGGTAGGAAGGAAGAACAGGTTTTTAAGTGGAACTTTAAACACTGGGAACTAATATTTAAACACTGGGAACTAATATTTAAACACTGGGAACTAATATTTAAACACTTGATTGTACCTCAGTTACCTGAAGAGTTTGAGCAAATAAAAGATTAATATTCTTTAGATGTGTCATTCTTTGGCTTTAAAACAGACAAACCACAGATTTTAAAACTTAGTCTACTCATACTAATGTGAAAACAGCTGTATGATGTAAGTGGCTCTGGGGGGAGCTTTTTCTGAAGTCTGAGAATTATAAAATGTGTTTGATTCATGAATATTTCCCATGAACAGATGTTATTGGTTGCATTACAGGACATGTAGGGTTCAGTGTATTCGGTGCTCTCTGTACACTCAGGATCTCTTCACCTCTGCTGCTTCAGTTTCAACCATAAAACCTTCCTCCTGTGAGCCCCCCAATCTTTATTTCCTCCCTTTTATTGATCAGATATTTACCAACAGCAGCTTTAATATGGATGATTAGTGTTACACATACCTCTGCAATCAAGAAGTCCACGTCCTTCTTGACAAAGACGTCGATCTGCTTCTTGAAGATGGCCTTCACATCATTCTCGCTCTTGCAGCTCAGGTAAGAGGGGGTCTGAGAGACTCCACCTGCCACCAGAGCATCCCCCTCATTGGCCACCTCCCTGGCCAGGTCACAAGCTGCCTCATTTATCTGCTGCCCCTAAAAGAAAAGAAAAACCAACCAGAACGACAGTCAGAGAGGGCATGTAAGTTCAAGTGTTTCCATGCTTTGGTTTGATGCCAACTCTGCTGCCAAGCTGCCATCCACCTCTCCATGAGGCTTCAGAGCAGCTGCAGGCACACGCGCACACACACACTAAACCCTCTCTACTCACAGTGAAGCGCTGAGTGTGGCCTCTGTTCTCCAGTTTATCATCGCTTGCGTAGAAAGTGAACGTCTGCATGACATTGGAGCCAGCCCTCAGGAACTCCCTGTGCAGCTGCCGCACTGCAACCACACAGATCCGGCGTCATTTTGATCACACACACAGAAAACTGGACGTACAGGTTTTTGGGAAACATTACATAACGCAGGTAAGGAAGAGGGAAAAGAAGCTGTACCCGCTTCAGGGTGCTCGGCTGCAGCCTCAGGTGTCCAAGGTCCTGCTTTGACGTACCCTCTCTTCTCAAGGGCGAAGACAAAGCCTCCGTCCCCGACAACGATCTCCCCTGCATCCAGTCTCTCCAGAATACCCTGCGTGGTACAAAGAAAGCGGATCACAGCACAGAATTGTTACTTTGATGCATGCAAAACCCACTTCCTCTGTGCAGAACAGTGTGCACACGCCACTTTTAAAACCCTGCAAACAAAGTGGAGCTTAAATTCAGGAAGCTCGTCTCCTACCTTCTTAGCTCCAGCTGGTGCCATGATAATGATGATGTGATGGTGATGATGATGATGATGATGATGATTATTGCAGCAGTGACCGGCCCACTCCTCTCAGCTACAGCGTCCCTCTGAGTTTGGAAAGGGCTTTGTGGAGGCATCCATGCTGCTTTTATAATGCAAGGAGGGTGCGGTGCGCCTGATGTCACCCAGGAACCGCCTGCCTCTTTTCACAGCTCGTTTTCTTTTTTGGCAAGTTTGCACAAGACAGCCTATTGTTCGCGATAGTGCCGCAGAAAGGCGAGACTCTTCTCCTGTTAATGTGTTTTTTTTGTGGGGGGGTTTAAATCAAATATGATTTAGTGTTAGAGGTGAGAGCAGGATGTTTATCAGTGGGGGGAAAGTTTAGAGAGTTTGACTCATGCAGAGCAAATGTGATCAGGTTTAACTGTATTTCTGCATGAATTAATGCTTATCAGTGCATTTTAAGTGTTTTCTGATCATATATAAGCCCTTAAGGTTTGGTAATGATGGGGTGGAAACTGCAGGGGGGGAAGCAGCAGCAGCAGCCATAATGCTGCAAGTGTGACTGTGAATTGTGTTTTAAATTAGCTTTTCTAAAAACATCCTAAACCCAGAAACCAGAAACATGTGATGAATGAGAGACGTTTTATGAGCCCTGACCACATGCAGGATTATGATGAGCCCGAAGCCTGATTTCACACCTTCAATCCAACAGTTAAACGTTAGAAATTAAATATTTTTTGCATATTCTGGATTTTCAATGAGGGAGAAGGAGGAGATTTTAGTTTAAAGACCTCCTTTCTGCTCATAAAGTCAGTGTTTCTTCGTGTTCTTACAGTTGGATATTTGAGCTTCACTGTGCAGAATGATGTATGTGCAGAGGTCCAGATATGCAATTTATATAAGTGTGATGTAGAAACTTGAAGCCAGCAGTGCACGTACACTGAGGAAGGACTTTACAGTGAAGGAGGAGACATCTTGTGTGCAGCAGGAAAACTTGAAATGAACTAAATTTGCATATTTATAGATTTTTTAATGCGGTAGAAGGCGTAGATGTCTTTAAGGATTTAAATGTGGAAATTATACTTTTTTTTTGTTGAGAAAACATATTAGACGAACATTATTGTTCAGTTTTAGCTCTTTTAAGATTTGTTTATGAAATAATTTAACTTTTTTGTGTAAAAAAAAAAAGACCCATAAATAATACATTATTCCAAGAATAGTTTCTTTCTTATATGTCTGAAATCATTTCTGCTGCTGAAGGATATTCAGTTGTATTTATACTTAAATGCTGCTTAAATACAAACTATATGTTTGCATATACTGGACTGCAGCAATAATGTGGTTTTTCCACCAGAGCAGCGGTTTGGGCCCCTTAAAATAAAGTTACAGTATGTCCACTTGAGAGTCTTTTCATTCCCAGATTATCATTTGGACTTTTTTTTGACTGCATCCAGAAACTCCAGATACTTTGCCATGGTATGGTGTCATGGTATTATCTGTCCTGTGTCCCTCTCTTTACCATAACTCTCTCTGATCTTTGAGGAACCTCTCCAAACGTCGTCATTCCTCACCTGTCCACCAGTTGTGCTCACCTGAATCTGCTCCTCAATAATAATTTGGATGTTATATATTATTAGATTGTCGGTTTTGTGTCTGTTTACAATCACTTGTTTTTATTTTCTACTGCTGCCTGTCTCACCAAGAACTCAGTGTCCCACCCTAAAAATGCCCCACAGTGTAACAGCTTACTAGAGGAACTGGTTTGAAACCAGATGCACAACTCAGACACAGTAGATAATTTGAGTGCAGAAATGTGAATATACTGCAGGGCTGTTGAGGGAGAGTGGGAACAGGTGTGCATAAAGGCAGTGGAGGCTTAGGTGATGGGGAGGGGCAGGAACACAGGAGTTAACAGTTAGTGTGTGTGGCAGATATAAACCAAAGAGACCAGAACTGAGAAAATATATGACTTTACTTAAGAAGAAGTAACAATACCACGCTATAAAAATACCCTATAACAAGTAAAAGTCTTGCACTAATGCAGAATTATGTTATTGGACCATCACAAGTTTTTAATTGACTCATTTCCCCTGCATGGGCTCAGCTCGTTGGTTGCTTCGTGACAATTCAGTGTCTGTTTAGTATCATCTCAGCTCTCTTGGAACCTCGATGAAGGTGAAACCACAATATATACCGATATATATAAAATACCAGGTACTATTCACAACTTGTGCATATGGCAAAACAAAAAAGGTTCCAAGCTAGTCGAGTTGAGTTGAGCCGAGCAGTACCGTGTACTAAACATTTTCAATAAAAAAGACTTGGACTTGAGTTTTTTGACTTGAAAATACATGATATCTTTCCACCGTTTGTGCCACTAATCCCTTAATTACCTGAATCAACAACTGACACACAGTCCACACTTAACTTCTCAGATCTGCTTTTGTTTGTTTGAACCAACCTGACAGCTTCCAATCAAGTTGCAGGAGAGAGACATGAAGAACTAACGTTACTTTACTCAGCGCCAGTTTCCAGACTGAGGTGGCACAAGTGGGGCATCAAGTATGTGCCTCAGTTTTCCAGTAATTGTTAATTTATGCAATTCCAAAACTGTTTATGGACCCCAGTATGCAGAAATATTCAAATACACAAAGCAAAGTAACTTTATATTTGTACCACATGCAAAAAACTGCATGGGATTAATATAAAGTGGGCATGTTTGAAAATGGGTACCTATAGAACCAGTTTTCATTCAGAGATCTTGAGGTCAGAGGTCAAGGGATCCTTTTTTCCATCGTCAAAGTTTAACCTAACTTTGGAGCGTTACTTAGCCTCCTTCCAGACCTGCTAGCTACAACATGGTTGGTACCAATGGGTGCGTTAGGTCATCTAGTTTTATATGGTGCTCTAAAAGCCAGTGCAGAGAGGAAGAGGGAAGGATAATGGGGCTAGAGATCAGAGGGGAGGCCAGAGTCACCTCAGACCCCTCATCTGGACGCCAGTTCTAAAAAAATGATACAAAAGACAATTTTTAAAACTGTTTAGGACTGAAAACTCAAAGTTTGGGTGCAAAGACTGACTTGTAACTTGGTCCCACCGCTGTTAGATTATTACTCAGCTCATTGGTCAGTATCCACCATCAAGATTGATTGGTAACAGGGAGATTTTGCAGGAGGATAATCAATAACTTATAGCTGATCATTAAAGGACCAGTGTGTAAGATTTAGAGGCATCTAGCGGTGTTGTTGCAGATTACAACATTACATAAACAGCTCATTTTAGGGTAATAAAAACACAACAATTCTTATTTTCAGGTGATTTTACACTAATGGAAACATACATGTTAATATTATATTACATTTGTATCCATTTCCTCCTAAAATCTTACACACTAGACCTTTAAGGAAAAGACAATAATGATTATATGTCTTTCTGTACCTTAGAAAGAACGCCATGTTGAACAATATATGATGATATTCTGTGTTTATTATATAGACGCCATATTTGTTGTTCTAGTTTGTATCTCCCAGGACCAGGGGTGCTTTAATTAATTCAGGTTATCAGGTAAAAATGTAAAATCTCATCAAATTCTTCAAGTCAATGCACGGAAACCTGCAAATTAAGGAAACGTCTTCACCGATTTGATTAGCATTTATTTAAAAAAGTGATAAAACAGAAGAAAATCCACATTTTATGGCAATTTTAATAAAAACTAAAAATGTCTGTTCAAGATTTTGAGCCATTTAGTCAATGTAGAGATATTTCACTCCATATTCTCCATTTATCTGTTGGTATTATTAGTAGAAAAGTGAGGAGATCATCAAAGTCGTTTGGATCCTCTGGGGATCATGGCAAGATTCAGTGTATGTAGTAGAGAGTAACCATTAATCTGTCGACCATTTTCTTAATTAATTGATTAGTTGTTTGGTCCATAAAACGTCCGAAAATGTACATTATTTCCCATCAAAGCTCAGGGTTATCCTACACAAACATATTCAGTCACAGAGGAGTAAAGAATCCAGAAAATACTTACATTTAAGAAGCTAAAATCAGAGAATTTGGACATTTCTGTCTTTAAAAATGACTCAAAATATTTGCAGATTAATGTAATAGTTGACAACTAATTGGTTTATCATTGCAGCTCTACTGGACAGAGAAGAAATACGTACAAATGTGGGAATAAAAGAGGCTTTTTTGAGCTGGAATCTGCTTAAAACAAACAATCCAGTGTGCTGCGGTCCCTCCCGAGACTACAAACTCCACATGTGTGACTTTATATCGTTCAGTCTAATGCACCATATCTGCTGACAACTAATTTCCACCCAGTATTACCCAATAAACTGTTCACATACATAGACTGATCAATAGAATCTGCCCTTTTTATCATCAAATAATCACCTTCATGCACACAAAGTTTATATAAATAAGTTTGTTTCTGCTCTTCAGAGTTTATATAAACCAGCTGTGAAGATAAATGTCCAGTTCAAACCTGTTGCAGCTGTTCCAAGTGGGTTAGAGGCTGATAAAAAAGGCTCAAGGACCACACAGAGATAAATGTATCTGGTCAGACTGGATCCAACAGGTCACTTCTTTTGTTTACATTTTACATAAGTTAACAAGATTCAGACCCAAATAAATAGTACAAGGTGCAGAGTCAGTTTTACTATTAATTTACTGTTGTTGTTGCTGTTTTGATCTTGTATGTGTGTTTACAATATCAGTCTGCTCACAGTTCAGACTGATATATCTCTACAACTATTGGACGTATTGACATACAGTTTGGTGCACATACTGAAAGAGCCCAGAGGATAAATCCTACTAACTTTGGTGATCTTCTGACATTTCCTCTAGCGCCACCATGAAGTTGATTTACGTGGTTTTGAGTGAAATGTCTCAACAACTGCTAGATGGATTTCTGTGACATTTTATACAGACATTTATGTTCCCTTATGTTCTATTGACAGAGTCTTTATAAGTTCCATCGAAGAGACTAAACTTCTCAGATTATTTAATTTTAAAGGGCAAAGATGTGAAATTATCTAATATTTTACAAAAAAGCAGATAAAAGAAGAGAAAAATCTGCAAAAACAAATATAAATTTGTATAGTAAAGTAACTTCCCTACCCCATTAATCATCTTAGGACCCCTCAGATTTACTGTGACCTTTTGGAGGGGCCCTGACCCCTAGGTTGGGGACTAAAACACATATATAAAGTAAATACAACTTGCTCTACCTCTACCAACAACAAAAGTACACATTAATGCATCAGTATTGATAAAATAATATAATATATTACATGATATATGACACAAGGGGTTTATTATCCTGCAGAATCAGTACTTTTTATACTTCAAGTGAAGTTTTGATAATATATGTACTTTTAGCCCTTTACATGCCTGTAGACCTTTTTAATTTGGGTTTTTTATAATACTCAGAATAGATAATTATTAAAAAATATATATACTGAAACCATTCACACACGTGTTCCAGGGGTTGTGTGACCTCGTTTTGGCGTTATGGCACACAAAGCGTTAACTGAGGGTTGCTCTGGGTAAAGTTTCGGTCCTAGACCTGTGGGCGTGCCAGCGCGCAACTGTCAGTGCAAAAGTGGGATATTTGTAACTACACACGGCAGTGCAGGGGTCCAGTGAGAGGGGGGGTGGTTATGCTTTGAGCTGCATGTGTGGTTAGTTTGTAGTTTTTAAACACCACTTCAGTCATGTCGCGGATATTGAACCTGATCAACACCCGGCTGCGGAGAGATTTGGCGGCGTGTCGAGGGACTGTTCGGCTCCCTTTGAGGACCATCTGCTGTACTTCAAGAAAACAAGCTAAAGAGAGGTGAGATAGTTCAGTTTGGCTTAGAAGCAACAGTAGTGTGAGCTTTAAACACACTTTTTGTCGTGCAAACTGAAAGAGTGCGTTCAGTGCGTGTAATGCGCGTAAAGCTGCACAGCTGGTTGATTCTTGCAAGAAGAGTTTGTGCAGAATTACTTAAAGTCAGTGAAGTTTTGTGGTGGTTCTGCATCACACATGGTCAAACATGGTGGCTTCAGTTTGTGTTCCCAGCTTGCATGTGTGACAGTGTAAACACTCTCCTGAGGCTGCACTGTGAAGCTGTGACTTCCTCCTCTCACTCTTCCTTTCCTCCCTGCAGTGATGCATCCTCAGTTTTGGGAAAGAGGTGGAAGGACACAGCAGAAACCGTCATCATCGGTGGTGGATGCGTGGGGGTCAGTGTGGCCTATCATCTGGCCAAAGGTGGCATGAAGGATGTGGTGCTGCTGGAGAAGTCTGAGCTGACGGCTGGATCCACCTGGCACGCTGTACGTCTAACAAAGTCTACTTCTTTTTAAATGGCAGAAGGACCCGGATGGTCTGAAGGTTCATGAATATAGTGAATGTGAAGGTGGACAAAGGTTGTAAAGACACAAGATCACATCTTTCCACCAACATATAGTCACATTCCTGCTTCTAACAACGTATTTTAACACCTTTACACTTCAAAAGGGGAGAACTAGAGGGGCATGAATGACAGTTTGGCTGAAAATGAGTTAAATATATCGAATAAAAGCTCTTTCTTCCTGTAAAGTTGGTTAAATATCACCTCTGGTTCTCATCCCTCAATTTCCATTTAGGTCGATTAATCTGCCATTTCTTTGTTTGGATTAATCATTGGAGCTTTAAAATGTCCCACCACTGTTTACTAAAGCCCAAAGTTATGTCATCAAACTGTTCAAAACCCAAAATATATTCAGTTCATTATCACATACGCAGTTATTTTTTAATGCAAATTATTTCCTCTATTAAACAGTTTGTCCATAAAATATCAAAAAGTAACGTCTGAAATAGTCTAAAACCAAAATATATTCAAATTTTTTAACATTTATGCAGCAAATCCTCCCATTTTAGAAGTCCGGACTAGAATAGTTGACATATTTTGCTTTAAAAAAGGACTTTTAAAGGAATTGTCTCAGCACATTTTTCACCTTTCCTTAATCATCTTTGTTTGAAACATCACAATGGCCCAATGTGGGTAAATTTCTTGATAAAAATAAACAGAAAATTGGACGTTTGTTACTTGAATATATTTGACCACTTGGCCTCTAATTTTAACAGTTCTTCCTCGACAGCCTCATTTAGCAGAGGTGTTTACGGCCATTTCTGTGTGTGTCCTTCAGTAGTAGCGTCGTATCCAGTGTGGGCAGCTGCTGCAAGGTTTCAAGGCATTTGAGGTCTTCTTTCACTCATTCACTCTCAACCACTTCACTGTAATGCTATTAATACATGTTTGACATATAAGAGGGGGAACTTATTCAGTTACTGTCTTCATATAGAGGGGGTGGAGGTGGAGCCTATCCCAGCATGCATTGGGTGAGAGGCCGGGTACACACCTATAGGGAACTGAAACACCTGGAGGAAACCCACAGATACGAGGGAGAGCATGCACACAGCCATGCTCTCTGTACTATAGCACATACATTATTTAATTAGAGCTGCTATTATGTCTTTTATTAGTTATAATCAGTTTAAAAGGGAAGAGGTTGTAATGAATTTGTTAGAAAATAATCTAAATTAGTCTCTTGTTTGCTGTATTTTCTTATAGACTTTTGTAGAGTTTAGTTTGTTTATTGGGTTTTGTAAAAACATACAAATGTGTTATCAGAGCATTTATAAAAAATGAAGGTGTATATTCCCTTCATGCAAAGACATAATAAAAAGTGACAGTTGACATATTGTTAAACACCAAAACAGCTTCCACAGACTGAGTCAACTAGAATAACACAACCATAAACAAACAAATAAAAACACCAAGAAACACTTATGTCATCTTTTCCCAAACGTATTGGACAGGATATTAAAGCTGCTATAATCAATATTTTTATATTAACAGTGGCTCAAATCATTATAAGTAATGTGAATGGTGTCGCTCTGTTCCCCTCAGCTCATTGGAGTGTTTTAGCCTCTTTTAGCTCATTGTTTCGGTTTTTAAGTTGTTTTGGTTCACCGCTCTCATTAGCGCGTCTCAAAAGCTCTTCGTTCGGTTGCAACTCCCGCACCCGGTGACTGGATGGACCCAACTATCTCCACATGTGCTCCCAACTGAGGATCCATGTTTGCAGACCACCGAGAAGCCCATGACGACAAATTAAACTAATCTTGGCTGTTCTGTGTCAATGCACAAAACATATAAACTTAAAACTGACTTCTCAATCAACAAACAGACTAGCTAGTGAACACGCTGAGGCATTTAGCAGCCAGATATTTGTCTGAGGAGTTGGAGGAGACCAAAATGGAGCTTGAAGGAGAGCAAATATTGGATTTACGTTCATCAGATGGACACAAACACAACTCCAAATGAACGATAATGTTGATCTGTGTCAATAACCAACAGTTTTCTGACACTTAACATAACATATGAGTGTGTGTGTCTGTTAACAATCTGTTAATGCATCATCCATCATGGTTAACTATTTGTTTTGTATCTCCAGGCGGGTTTGACAACATATTACCATCCAGGCATCAACCTCAAGAAAGTCCACTATGACAGCATTAAGCTCTACGAGAGCCTGGAGGCTGAAACCGGACAGGTGAGGCGCCTCGCTCGTCTTTCGTAACTCCGATGTGCGTTTACGCCGTCCCTCATTTTGTCTTTTTGCTCCGCAGGCGGTGGGATTACATCAACCAGGCAGTGTTCGCATTGCTTCAACAGCGGCTCGCGTGGACGAGATGAGGTACCAGATGACCCGCACGCACTGGCACGTGACGGAGCAGTACTTCATCGGACCAGAGAAAGTCCACGAACTTTTCCCTCTGCTCAATATAGACAAGGTCTGCACGGACAGATCACTGCTTATGTGATATATGTGGACGTCATCCTTTATCTTTGTGTGTCCAACATCTTCTGTATGAAGAACAACATGACTATCAAACACTGCCTCAATAATTAAAGGAATAGTTTCGATCAGTTACCAAGCTCCTCTCCT